TGCCTTCCTCCATGGACACCCCCAGCCCCTCCACCAGCTCCCGGTCCAGACACCTAACTGTCCTTGGCCCCAGTGTTACCCAGAGAGGGAGCCTGGATCCTGGATGTGGGGCACAAACCAGGGCACCCCCAAACCACAGCAGAGGCTGAGATGTCAGTGAAGATGCCCAGGGCTTGTGCGTGGAGAAAGGTGGGTGAGAGGGAAGCCCAGGTGCAGCAAGGGCCAAGATGCAGGACCCCAGACCCCTGGGAGCCCCATGACTCGGGTCTCAAACTCACCCACACAATAGACAGTCTCACTCCAGGTCCCCAACTTTGTGCAGGTGCTCTGGGGCACTGAGGGCCAATAGCCCTCCTTGCAGCTCCACATCACCACATCGCCTGGGTTGTAGGATGACTGTTTTGGTGTGAACTCAGCCCCTCTGTTCCAGGAGTCTGGTTCTTGGCACTTTCCTGCAGCAGGAACATGGGGATGGTGTCACTGGGAAATGGCTCCAGCACCGCTGGACCCTGCATGCCATTCCCATCAGCCGCTACAGATCCAGATGAGACCTGGTTTCACGCAGACATCCTGCCTCTGGCTGCTGAATAGGAAGGCCCTTTGTCACCCTCCCTGCAATTCAGTGCCTCACGCATGTGATTCCCTGGGGGTACCCTGTGCGCTTCTCAATGTACGCACCCCCACGCTCCAGGAGATGTGCATGATACTGCCCCTCCGGACACCGCCCGCACACCCCCATTTCCAAGCTGAGAGTCCCTGGGATTCTGGATGGACAACCATCCCCAAGACAGGGGTTGAGGGCTCACCCAAAACATGGGGGCAAGACTCCACCCTGGCCCCAAGGCAGCACAGTGTCAGCGAGGACCAGGCCCTGAGACCACGGGGTTTTAGGGAACCCCACTTTCTCTGGCAGGGGGCCGCCTCGCTCCACACACTGTGGCTCCCATTCCAGAGGCATCGGATCATGGGCTGCGAGGGCTCATGATCCTTTGGGCAGCTCAGAGTCACCAGCTCCTCCCTGGCATAGTACAGCTTGTCTGGGGCAAAGCGCAGATATGGGTCTCCGGTGGGTTTCTGGCACTTTTCTGTTAGGAGAAACCCTGGTTTTGAGGCATTGGTGAAGAACAAGCCACAGGCCCCCAGGCCAGGCCCTGCACATAGACACGTAGAGGGGCCCCCCACATACGTGTGTAGCAGTACTTATACACCCACGCCCCACCCCCACAGTGTCCCCCAGCGCACACCAGCTCACACTGCCACCCAGCCTAGAGTAACCAGCATGTACCCTTAGCTCCACACACCATCAGTGCACACCCACACCACACACAGGCCTTTCAAAGGGGGATGATGATGATGATGTTCCCTGTGTGTGCTGTTATATATGCCCAACTCTTGGCTCAATGGCCCCGGCACCATTGGTGCAACATCCCAGGTGTGCATAGGCCAAGCGGGGTCACTCCACAAGCCCTCAGCAGAGATGAACGTTTGCCCCACTGACCCCTTTGCAAGGCACAAGCGTACAGAGACAGTGGGAAAATTGGTTGGAAAACAATATGATTGAGAGAGGTGTGATGAGCAGCAGGACAAAGCAACTATGTCAAGGCAACTATGATCACCCCATACTGGTGAACAAGTTAAGAGGCTGTGACTTGGATGACTACACAGTCCAGTGGGTGGCGAATTGGCTGGAGGGTCGCACCCAGAGAGTCGTGGTGGAGGGGTCGGTTTCGACCTGGAAGGGTGTGGGCAGTGGGGTCCCGCAGGGCTCGGTCCTTGGACCGATACTCTTTAATGGCTTCATCAGTGACTTGGACGAGGGAGTGAAGTGTACTCTGTCCAAGTTTGCAGATGACACAAAGCTATGGGGAGATGTGGACACGCCGGAGGGCAGGGAACAGCTGCAAGCAGACCTGGACAGGTTGGACAAGTGGGCAGAAAACAACAGAATGCAGTTCAACAAGGAGAAATGCAAAGTTCTGCACCTAGGGAGGAAAAATGTCCGGCACACCTACAGCCTGGGAAACAACCTGTTTGGAGGCACGGAAGTGGAAAGGGA